CTGAACTGCCAATGTGTACTATTATCAGCCTGCGTCCCTTTCCTGATGGTGGGTTTTAAACCAGTAGATAAGTTATTTACAAAAGCGTGCCTTTGACTTGTAACAGTTTCATCCTGCCAAAATTTATTTGGTGTATGACCCTCGTTGATCCATGTTTCATCAAGATAAAATATTTTTCTTTTTTGGTTTCTCATTTCTTTCCTTTATGGTTCTTAGAAAATGTCTTCTCCATATGACAATATCGCTTCTTTCTAATAAAATAGACTTTCTGGGATTCTTTTTCCAGCGGAAGCCTATTTCTTTTAAAGTTTCCATAACGTACTTCGACTCATTTCTGGGTAATCCTTATCATCTCGAACTGAGACAAGAACTTTATCCAATGTTGGAAAATTCTTGTCTAAAGAAGAATTCATGCACTTTCCGTCGAAGTCCTTCTTTAAAATGATATTCTATTTGAAATTTTGGTTTCCCTGGAGCATTACGTGGCATTTGAAAAGTACCACATTTCTCTTCTTTAATAACTCTGTAAATCGTAGATTTCCCAACACCAAGTGTACTGCTAACTAACTCAACGGTCTCATCAACACTTTCACATAAACGTTTGTCTGTAAATGATTTAAAACAATTAAATATTAATGTTTTTTCATTAACTGTTAAAGGACCAATTTTTCGGCGTTTACACGGCACTTCCAAATTTTCCATAACACTAGTATACACAATAAACTGCACCTTGCAACTGAAGTACCTACTTTTAGTGAACTGTTAAGAATTTTGAATACGCCACTTGGAATGCACTCATTTCAGATAAAATAAAACGTTTTATTTTATCTAAAGAATTAAACTTTATTTTGCAAATAGGTATACTTCATCTAATTTAGATAACGACTTACGTCATTATCTACGTCAGAGATCGAAGTGACATAGTGCCAAAGTATAAAAAAATCCTTACTCCATTTTAAATCAAATAGGTCACATAATTATTGCAAAAGTATTACCATCTCTTTACAACGACTATTTAAATTCTTACGTAACATTTTGAAATAAAACACTAATTTTGTTCTAAAAAGAACAGATTTTATAAATAGGTAAAATATAAAACAAGAGGTATTTACTTTAAAATTAAAATAATAAACTACAAAAAGTGTCAACACCGCAACTGTCAAATAAGTGTTACCAATTTATGCCAAAATTTTACCTTCGTTCGATTACAGTTGCAGTGTGTTCCGAAAAAATGTTCTTGATAAAAACTCTTTATAATGGATTTATACAAATTAAATGAAACATATTATTGTGTATTTCTTTAAGTGAACATTAATAGAAATTTTTAAATATTATTTCTACGCGTATATAATAAAATATGTCTAGTGGCTGTAATGCCAGTGTACTCGGTAAAGTGATTCTAAAAAGAACACACCTAAACCCTAAATATTTCGTGTTGGTATCATATGACGTCACAGGCTATGACGCCGATGACGTGCATCGTTATATAAATTAGATGAAGTGTAGGTACTTATTAAACTTTTATTGGTTATATATAACCAATAAAATAAACATCTTACATTTCTTGCAAATTCATTAGTACCTGTTAACCTCCATCACTCCGACACTGGCAACCTTATTTAATGATTAGTAACCCTCACAAGTATTGTATTCTATTCTGCTCCAACCTTTATACCTGGTGGTCATACTCAATTTAAAAATTGTTTTCCTATATACTTCTGTAAACTTGTTGACAAATATCTGTTTTTCATTGAGTCACCCGTATCAACAGTTTAGGGATTTGCATACATAATTTATTGTTTTATTACTCTCTCATACATAAAAATACACTATAGTACAACGCGGCGTCAGTTTCAGCTTAAAAGCGAAGAAGTAACATCTCCAGAAGATGCCAACTCATAGTGTTGGCGAAACGTCGAGAACTAATTTCAGAAGACAACGGCCAAACAGTCCCACCAAACAGTTTAACAAGTTTTGTACGCCTGTTTGTCAATTTTTTTCTTTTGTATTTGTTGTCTGTTTTAGTGTATTATAGAATACATATTTGTTTACGTATCACAACGAACTTTGGCTAAAACGGGATCTTTTGTTTTGCCTGTTTTAGATTTTACCGTAAACGAGGAACCAGATTCTGACTCTCTCAAGGAAAACAGTTGTACTGAAGGTTGTATTTGTATGTAGTAAATTATTAAAAATGTTGAGAAGTAAATGAGTTCAATTTTTTTACAGTGTTTATATTTGTTCCATGTATTTTAGTATTTTACCATTTTTGCATTCCATGTAAAACCACCAAATAGTATAGACATAAAATATAATTGTGTATCACTTTATGTTAAATAATTCAAGGGTTTATTGAAAATGACAAATAGCTGAAACGTGTAAGCAACAATTAAGTGTTTTATAACAGATCGACAAACCCAGGAAATAGAATAGAATATTCTTTATTAATCCAAGGAGATCACATTGTAATATAGGACAAGTCATATAGTTACATAAAATAATCAACAAAATATAGATTAATATAAAAAAGATATGCAATATAGAGCGTTTCTGAACCCGTCGGTCCTCATTCCCTGTAGTCTTTTATTAAGTAAAAATAATCATTTAGGTTGTAAACGCATAATTGGATCAAGCATGATGTTCATTTATTTTTGAATTTTTTAATATTACTTCATTTCTCATATTAAGTGGCAAACAATTGTAAAATTGAGATCCTGGAAAATCAGGACTAGCTTCAAAAAGAGTTGTGGAGTGTTTACACACGCTTATCAACCTCCCGTGTCTTGTCGGGTAATTATGAAAAGAGTTGAGGGTAAAATTTTGAAATTTAGTTTTGACGTGAATAAAACACTTATAAATATTATAAAGAATGGAAAGTCAACAGTCTGTGTTCAACAAAATTATTGTCTATTATCAATATTAAATATCAATCTAAGAATTCTCTTTTGAGTTATAAAAATTCTAGAAGAGTTCCTAGAGTTTTCCCACAAGACAACATTATAGGTCATATATGAATAAACCAATGCATAGTACACCCTTATCAATTTATTGGTAATAAATAGAGTTTTCAACTGAGGGATCGCATAGTAACCCTTATTCATTGTTTTGCAGATTTTAGTAACCTTTAGTCTAGGTGCTGCGAAGCGTGTATCGTGTTGTGTGCTCAGTCTGTCTGTCATTCTAACGAGTTCTGTGAAAATTCTACTTTCTATATTAAAATATTTGGGATTAAAAATGTAAAACACATACTGCAGCTAACAAAAAAAGTAAAAAAGATAAAAAGGTGAACTATATGATAAACTGTAGTAACAGGGATTTTTAGATGTACAAATATTTAATATATCAACATTTTTTTGATTATTTGAGATTTTTTGATATCTGTAACGTGATTTAAGTTTTCTTAGCGTTTCCCCACAAGACAACATTATAGGCCATATATGCATAGTACACACTTATCAAATTGATTGATAATAAATAGAGTTTTCAACTGAAGGATCGCATAGTAAACCTTATTCATTGTTTTGCAGATTTTAGTAAAATTTTCATCCCATGTCATATTACTTTCTAGAATGCTTCCAAGAAATAATGTTATCACTGAAAGGTATTTCCTCAGAACCAACTGTGATCTTATAATCATGGGATGGCTTACAGCGCGAGTAGAACTGAATACAAATAGTTTTCTTTGCATTTGCCATTAAAAACACCAGGTTGTAAATTCCTGTGCTACCAAGTTCATTTTTGATATGAGTTCGACTTCAGTTGACACGTCAACTGCAATGGTTGAATCATCTGCATAGAGAACTGTATGATCTGCAGTTAAACAATTTATCAGATCATTGACATATAAAAGAAATATTAAGTGTCCCAATACGGAGCCTTGCGGTACACCTTGATAAAGATTAAAAACAGATGACTTCTTATTATCGACTTTTACTAGGAATTTACGATGCTGTAAGTATGACCTTAACCAGTTCAAGAAATGACCCCGAAAACCAAGGGCTTCTAATTTATGCAGTATACTTTCTTTGTCAATAGTGTCAAAAGCCTTAGGTAAGTCAAAAAAGAGTGCATGCACATACCTTTTGCGATCCAAAGCAGCGTGGATATAATTATGAAATAGAAGCACTCTGTGTAGATTTATTAGGAAGAAACCCATGCTGGAATTTATTTAAGATATCATATTTATTCAGAAAATTTACCATTTTATAATAAATACACTTTTCGATAATCTTAGAGAGTACACTTGGTACAGTGATTGGCCTGTAATTATCAACCAAACATGGATCTCCCTTTTTGAAAATTGGACTTACTACTCCCGCTTTAAGGTCACTTGGAAACTTGCCATCCTTGACAGATAGGTTGATGGTGTGAGACAGAACAGAAGATATATATGAAGAAATGTATTTAATTATTTTAGTGAGGATTTGGTCAATACCTACTAAGCTGGTATAGTTTAAGGAAGATATAACATTCTCAATATCAAATGGTGAGACCTTAGCAAAAAAGAATGTGTTGTTAATTGTCATAGTTGTGAAATCGTTAAAGGTATAGTTATTGAAATGTTTTAATAATGTGTGTTTGACTGATACAAAATTACTCACCAAATTTGTTCTGGATGTATCAATAATTTATTATAAGTATACTTCACTCAAAACTGTTTTTATTTTTACCAGTTTGACGATTCACAGTTTTCCATATCTCCTTCCTTCTTTTATTATTATTCTGATTGTGTAAATAGCTTTGATATGAGGCTTTTTTGTATCCTTTACCTTACGGATAAAGTTGGCCTTTTGTATTTTATAGTTAAACATTAAATCTGGATTAGCACTAACATTTGCTAGCCAAAATAAATCTTTCAACCTTTTACTAAGCTGAAGAATTTCAGTATTGATCCATTTTCTGTTGGTATTAGTAGTTATGCGTTTTGATATTAAAAGACATGTTGTATCAATACACAATATCTCGATTAATCACAAAATTGTATAAGTAAAAGACAGGAGTTGCTGTATTTGAAAATAAAAACATTTGTACTTTTATTTATAAACTTAAAATTGAATATAAATACAATTACACTAATGAAATTAATTTGGTCAAGGTAATGGCCACGGTAAACCAGAAAAGTCCACAGGTCCTCCTAAACCGGCATCAGCCTCCAATAGACTCATAATAACAGCCATAGCTGCTTCGTCGTTTCCATCCACAGAAGAAGTAGGGTTAGCTCGTTCTGTTCTTGTTGTATCGTCTTCTATCATTTCCATCATTCCTTCATCCGTAGTTCCACCTAGAACTAACAGAGTGCAAGATTACTTTTAAATTGGAAAATAACAGAAAGAAAAAAACTAATGTAAGGATTATAGATTAATTTCACTAACCAATACAATTTGCAATAGTGGCTTTGAATCTGCTAAAATGATTACTAACCTATGCCAATCAAATATCTGGTAACTACCAAACTATCTCAGTGATAATTTTCATGCACAATGCACTGGATCGGGGAGATTTTTTGTGGTGGCACTTTTCTTTGATCTCTCAAAAGCATTTGATACCATAAACGTAAGAGTTGCTATAGAGAAGTTAAAAAATCTTGAATTTAGGGGTCAGTTCTCATTATGGCTGTCGTCTTATTTACATTCTAGGAAGATCCTCGGTAAACTTAGTAACTCACGATCAGATTATGATGATATTGATATTGGGGTTCCTCAGGGTTCAATATGGGGGCCATTAATATTCCTATGCTATCTGAATAATATGCTCAGATTATGTCAGTTCAGAGTTAACTGTTCAACTGAATATTATATCAGAAGATTTTATAGAGTGGTGTAAAAAAATACTTTGATTGTTAATGTTAAAAAAACCACAAGCATGCAATTCTACTATAGATAGATACAAATGATAGCCTGGTTCATTCTACAACTTCCACTAAACTTTTAGTTTTGTATTTTGATAGAAACATGAGCTGGGAATCTGAAATTATTCATGTTTGCAAAAAAATAAATAGTAGTTATTACGCAATATTGCAATTAAAAACTTTTCTTAAAATGAAACAGTTTACTTAGAAACTTTGGAGTAGTACTGTGCAAAGTAAGAGTGCTGTAAGAGTGTTTGTCTCTCAGAAAAGGATAATTCGGTTCATTTTTAATTTAATACAACATTTTAACAGTACCTTCTATATAGATTTTTAACTATACACTGCATGTAAAAGTCAATAGAACTACTACTTTTAATTTAAACTCTGATTATCACCAGTACTCAACTAGGTAAAATGACTTCATCAGAGTACCAAAACATAATACAGCACGATTTGAAAAATCCCAGTATTATATGGGTATAAGACTTTTCAATCATATTCCCAACAGTATTAAATCTGAAAAAAATTTAAATAAATTTCGAGGTAAATTAAAATCTTTTCTATTGCAAAATTGTTTCTACAGTGTAAGTGAATATCTGGGTGATGTATAAATAATTAATCCTATGTACTTTTTATCTTTTAATTCTTAAAGTGTGATGTTTTATAAATATTTATATTTTTTACTCGAAATTCAGGATGAATAAAAAAAATTATTATTATATATAAGTTAGCATTGAAATATGTGAAGAGAAAAATGTATCCGAAGATTAAATGCGACAGATTTAGAGGAGCGTAGATCGTTCTAGCTTTACTGATGATGTAGATATAGTTGCATAGTCAACAGAAAAGTAGTAGTCTCAATATAAATGAAGATAAAACAAAACATGAAAGAAAGGTTTTGGAGAAAATAAGTGAGATTTAGAGAAAATAGTAAAGATTCAGGTCGAGTTGTAACAGTATTGGTGATGATGATGATGAAGCAACAAACAAAAAATATTGATGGTCATGGAGAAATTTATTATTGAAAGTTTTTGACTTTATGTATATTCCTTTTGGTAAGCACTCGTGACCCAACCCGACTGTTGTGATATGATATTTTTAGGCAACTTCGATTACTAATGTAGGCATCGTTGGTTGCCTAAAGTGTAGAGATGATGAATATCGTTATTCCATGGTATTATCAAAGAATATAGACGCTTCTTTGGTATTATCAACGAATATAGACGCATAATACTATGAATAACAAGATAGGATCTTCCCGTAGCACAAAATCGGTCGTGTTCGCGCATGCCGTCATTGGAGAGTAAGTAAATTTGAATTCTTGTTAAGTTAAATGGGATTTGTATGCATTCTGTGATGAAATTACTAGACGAAAATAAGTTAAGAGGTTCAATAATTTACAATAATCGCACACATAAGGATATCTCCAAACTGTTTATTAAAGATTATTTATTGACACATTCAAAAAACTGACATTTCGAACGTGCAACTCTCCAATGACGTCACGACTTATGCGCAATATCTTATCTTCTTATCATAGTATTATGTATAGACGCATATGCGTCTAAATTCTTTGGTATTATCAACGAATATGGATGCATATTCGTCGTTATAGAGTTTAATAATATTCGAAATATTAAGAAACTAACAACAATGGAAAGTTTCTGCCACTTGGTGGCGTGATACACTGAGATGGAATTTTGGTAGGAGTAATCGCGAAAGCTGAATTAATAGACCAAGTGGTCGATGTATTTTTATGATTAAGGAGAGGTCTTCGTCTTGAAGGCAACCAGGGTTATATATACTTGAATATCTAAGGTGTCTCTGATATAATCGACAAAATTCTGAAATCAAAGAGAATAAAGACAGTATTTAGCCCTCAACAAAAACTATCTATTGACCGATCTGCCAAAGACAATATTAGAAATGAACAATACGGAGGTTATGGAATTCCTTGTGTAGATGCTCACAATATCTTACATGTCATAATAATCGAAGCCTTCAAAATAGGATCACTGAACATTCGATTCCCGTTCGTAATTACGATTCAGTTTTAGCCCTAGGTGAACTACATCTCATACTTGTCACACAAACACTATAGCCCCATCCTTTTCTATAAATCAAAATTTATTCCATAAGCCATAGAGATGAAATAACGCTCGAATTGTCTCAATAAAAGTGAACGGCAATCATCAACATTCATCCAAACTCTGCATCAGTTAACCATGTCACTATCTACGGTATAACTATTGCGTCCCTCGTCCCAAACAGTAGCAGTGCAGTAAATAGTACACAAGTGAAGTAATCTGTGGAGTCAGGAGACTGTCACAAGACCAGTCAACCTGTCGTTAAAATTAAGTTGATACCTTTATTATGTTGTATAAGATTACGATTAACTTACTTGGATCTGTAGCTACACTAGACAGAGGAACATTTCTTATGTCGTAGAATTTTGGATCTGAATACTCGGATAGTAAAGTATGCTTTTGTTCTTCTGTACTTTGAATACTTGGTGATACACGAGCCTGAAAAGAAAATATTAATCGATTAGTAATTAAAAAACTGTTTTTCGTTTGCAATTTATTCTTCTGTCACTAAAAATATCAAACTAATAAACGAAACAAAAAAATTATATAAGAGAAAAAAGATGTTTAAGTTCAACCATAGTTTTGTCCACCAAGTGATTAAGAAATTGATGACACTCGTAAAGCATTTTTGATCTGAAGCTTTTACTACTTTAGTACTTGAATGTGGCTTAGCTGTCCGATATGACGCATTTCTTTTGTTTTCATCGGTTTTTGATTAGCATATATTCGACTGCCATGTACTTCTTGGTTAGACTAATTGTGGTTTCCGCATCGAGCAACCTTGACCCTTTCGCTCCGGACCCCACTTTACATTTTTGGTCCATCGATATACAATTTTTGGGAGTCCTTTTGCGCACATTCCGGTAATTCTCACGGTATTCCTCTAATTGGTCTAAGACCAATTTTGTGGATGTCTGGTAACTTACAGCGCCATATCCAATAAAGGGATGACTCTGAGAACTTCCAGATAAACCTTTGAGGTTACTTTCTTTGAAATGGTACTTTTTATGTTGTGTGAGTGCCTGTTTTATTTCTGCTCTTTAATTACCACTGGAAGGGAATCCAAAACAAGAAGGATCTCCATGGCGATTGGGGTGTTGTTCTTCTGGCACCTATGAGACTCAAACATGCTAGAATTTGCATCTTGGCCTAATTAGCTTTCGCTATACTTTGATCTACTTTACTCCACCAGAAAACAGATCTACAGAGGATGTCAGGTATACCTATCTAGCTGGTTATAGATACAGCTGTTTGCTTTGTTTTCTTCTATTTCACCTAAAGTATACGTAAAATCTTAAAATTCACGACAAAAAACTGTTCTTTGGAACAGTAGACCCTTTGGAAACATTAGGCAGGCTTGGGTGAGGTTATGTTATGTCGATGAGTTGCTCCCAATGTCCACGCTGCTCTGATTAATTGAATTATATGTCATATGTTCATTCTGCATATGAAAAATACGCAGAAGAATAGACTGGAGAATAGATAAGCCTATCTGTTATGAACCGATCAAGAACTAGGTCTATTGTAGAATTAAAGAAAGCCCATGATAGCGTCTCCCAACTATGAACAGCGGTGGAAGAATCAAAGTTACATATACAACTAGTAAAAGCTGTTAAAACAATTCACCACAACGCAATTATAAAAATCAAACAAGAAATTAAGGTTAGCAAAGGATCCAGAGCAACAAAAGGTCTTAAACAAGGTTGCTGCTTATTACTCACAATGTTTAAAATACTTTTAGAACATAAATATGAAGAAGATTTTTATGTCAGAAGAGGCTCTCGAATGAACAAGAAGATCAACAGGTCGACGAAATATACCATAACACCATTTTCTATGTAGTTGAAGTAATTTATACCATAGTATTCTGTACTTACATCTCCAGGTAATATCGGCAGAGAAAACGAAGATTCCGGGTCTGGACTACTACTAGACGAAGAATCTCCTCCACGTCGCTGTGAATCCATTACTTGGTCAGCTATTTGTCTACCAATTTTACTAACTTCTATGTGGTTACTTATTAATAGATGCATATCTTTTCCATTAGCTAAAAATCATCGGAAATTTAAGAGATCATACAATTAAGATATTGAAGTAAAAAATATATAAAGTGTAATAAAAAAGTCTTACGTTGTGAAAGAAAATTGATATTTTCCCTTATCCTATCGGATTGGCTGGCGCTGCTTTCAACTGTCCTAAAATCAGTCCTAAAAGAAAATAAAAATGAAGTTTCTGAAGCTATTTTCTTGTAGTATCTTAATACAATTAATATTTTGTGGTCAATTTCTAATAAAAATAGTAAATTGTATTGCAAAAAGATTAAAACGGTCGATAATCCATTCTCCACCTTTTAGATTGGAAGATGGTAGTTAGAGCAGAAGTAATATACGAAAAGAATTGTTGCTTTTTACTTAAAAGATACACTCAAACCAAATATTGACGGAAATAATCATCAGGAGAGGATAGATTCAGCCTAGACCAAAGAAATAATCACACCACTTCCCCAAAAGCAATAGCAGATAAAATCAAAGATAACATAAGTCTAAAAAAGTGACAGGGTATTATATAATCACTGGTGAATTATTAAAAAACATACATTAGAAAGACATAATCAAACATATATACTGTGGTGCTGCTTTGGCTCCAGTCTGGAGTAAGGCGGTAGAAATATTGTCTTACCGGAAGCTTTTAATACAGACAGGCAGAAAAAGTGTGTCGGGCATGGTAAGTGCCTACAGGACTGTCTCAGTGGGTTCATGGGTTAAGGGTGCTTCTGGACATACCCCTTCAGGTTCAAGAAAGCGGTCTTAAACACCTGCCCTTACTTCGAAAAAAGTACTGGTTCAGGATATGAGCAAAGAGATAAAAATCAGCATTAAAAAGGCCAGAGCAGTATTCTTCTGAATGAAAAAAGTATTATATGAAGAAACTATTAATAATAACCTGAAAATAAGAGTCTTCAACTGTTACATCTTTTCGAAATTATTGTAGAGAGTTGAAAGCTGGACGATCACTAAATATCTATTAAATTAACTTCAAGCCTGCGGAATTTGGGTATATTGAAAGCTCCTGCGCATAAGATGGGTTCACAGAATGAAAATGAAGATATATATTATAGCGTCTACAAAAGCAATTCGAAGTAGTATCACAAAAGTACCAAAATAAAAGTATTTTTGCGCATTTCATGCGACATTCAGAATGATATAGAGTCTCCATTTTATTATTTAGGGCAAAATATGTGGAAACTAGGGTACCAGTCGAAAAAGAACATCATGACTTCCTAACCTACTTGAGTGGTTTAATCAGTTTTTATCATCACTCTTATGATATCCAATATGATAGCCAATCTTCAGTAATGAATATGGTACGGAGAGCAGAATAACAAACCCTAATGTTATCTTTCTGATTTTCACAAAATCAATAACTTCCAGATCTTTTTCATACGTTAGATGATTGTGTTGTTTATATAAAAAGTCAAAATAAACCAAATACTTACAAAATTAAATTATTTTTAGAAATAAAGTTCTCAATTTCTTTGGTCCAAGGATTTTTGAACGACTTCCACTCGCTTTGAATCTTGATGAAACTGCCGCTTTTTGTTCTGAATCTGTAGACTTCTGTTGTGACTGCATTTGTACTCTGTAACGCTACTTTATGATACTCTGCCAAAGATTGGATGTCTTCGTGATGAAAGTATTCGTACATGGAGGTACCTAAGAGTTCTTGGGGAAGAAAGCCTAAAACTAATGTTGATCTGAAAGAATAATGTAGTTGTAGTTATTGGTCATACTAAAATGATACTCGTTTACACAATTAAACAATTTTCTACATTGGATCTTGTCGTTTTGGCTAGCTCACTCATAAGGTAGACTCAGAATATTGATTGAAATATTTAATCAACTCAAAATTAAAATAGTGGTATTTTCCTATTTATTTCTTTTTTTTATATGGGCAACCAGATAGTACTTCAGTCTGCTGAATATTTTGCGACGCAATTGGTTTCATTTAACGTAATTAGAGTCACTTCTTTTTACCACCTGTTTCTTTTAGGACGACACTTGAGTCTTTCCATTTGACTCATTAAACAGAAAAAGCTGTTGGCGCAATTGCTGCCCCGTTTGCTCAATCCAGACAACAAGCGTAACTGTGAGACCACTTTAAAGCAGTGTTTGACGCTATTTAAGAGAATTCGGAGTTTCTACGTCGTTTCGTAATCATCGACGAAACATGGATCCACTGGTAGATACCAGAGACCAATAAATACACAAGAGGTACCTTACATGGACTACCTGGAAAAGGACAAAACAGTCGCAGGGCTATACTACGCCGAATTATTGGACTCAAATTGCAGAAAAATCAACTCCATTTGGCGAAGAAAAAAGTGCTGGCTCATACCTTTGTCGTCGCCATAGCGAAATTGGTCAAACTGTTGCTCCATCCATCTTATTCTCCAGATTTGGCCCCGTGCGACTTCTTTCTGTTTCCAAACCTGAAAAAGCCACTCGCTCCGGGCAGAAATTTAAGTGGAATGAGGAGGTCATCGCTGCCACAGAAGGCTACTTGGTAGATCTCGAGAAAACGCATTTTTTAGACGGGTTAGAGATTGGACAGGTTAGAGGTTGGTTAGTGAGAATCGCTGGGTCAAGAGTATCGAATTAAAAGGAGAATAAAATGAGAAATAAATCACTACTTTACCAAAAATTTCGTTTTTCTTTCGAAATTTGAGAAGAGTTCTACAAACTATTAATTTGGTATATTGTCTTAAAGTTCTAGTTTTATGATGCTGTGCACTATTTAATTCTGTGGTTATATCAAGTATAGGTATAAATAGTAGATTGAGATTTTGTTGTAGAATGTTGTTAACCGCTTTTGTATAATAAAGTACCTTAAAAACACCTTACCTTTGGTCAATAAATAAAAATTTTCCATCCAAGGCATGCCTCGAAATAAACTGTATCTGCTTTACATTGGGCCTGCCCTGACAGTTGGCAGCAATTGTGGAAATATGTGGAAGAATTCGTCCTATGGCTACCAGACACGACAAATTACACGATTCTCCGTCACCATCCTCTTGTTCCTCCAGACCTATCTTCGCTGGAGCCCAAGACTTCAAATAGCCGGTGCATTGGATGACATTGTACTTTTTGTCTAAAAAATTAACAAATTATTAAACAATGGCGCCCAAAGTTGTCAAGTAGTTTTTTTCTTTCAAGTGTTAAGTAAATCTAATTTGCCAAATTCGTTTTCTAAATCTCTAAATCTCTATTTTCTTGCATTTTTCTGAATAGTACGCTTCTTTTGTATCTCTTATCTTTCTTTTATTATACTTATAACTGTTGGTACCTAGAAGCAATTTTTTCTTGGATCCATAACCGATGATTTGTTTAGAAATACTAAAAATATTAAAAGTTTCTGTCTATACAAACCTGAATTATATTTTTTCCTCCTGTGGTATCCAGTCGTTGTGTCTGCCTCCTCTTTTACTTGCGAAGATGAATTGCATTTCATTCTACAGAAAAAAGATCTCCTAGCACCTGGACATAAGCGAGAAGCACCTTGAGGAACGTCTGTTTTTACAGGTAACATTGCTGTGAAAAAGTGAATAATGAAATTTTAACTGTACAATTAAAAATAGCCAAACACATAAAAAAGAAAGAAATAACACCAGCTTTTAGAACAAACAACAACTTAGGTAAATATATTAAAAACGACAAGAGCCAAAATAAAAAGCACTTACACAGTGGTGCATACAAACTTGAATGCGGCGACTGCCCAAAAACTTACATCGGTCAAACTGATAGAACTTTTAACAAACGAATAGCAGAACATAAAAGGGCTTTCAATAATATAAAAATAGATTCTAGAAATACTAGGAATACTGGTAAAGATTATATTTCGAATAGTGGTATAAAAATTACCGCAAAGCTTTTCGATAAGTTTTACATGTAGAAAGAGCTGCATTAATTTATTTTCATTCATTGAAAGACAAAATATATTTTATTTACACAATCCACACAATCAATAAAACTAGCGGAAGATCCAGACTAATGGATTCTGGCAGTATAAGAGTCATTATTTTCTATTATATACCTAAATTTTGTTTAAAAACTTATACTTGGAAAAATACTTACTTTTTGCATCGATCAGCCTTTCTCTTGGGTTAATATCGGACGAAGAAAGTTGCTCTTTAACTTTAGCAACGTCCTTCGGATGTAAAATATCGAACATGCTTTGTCCTAAAAGATCACCCTGTAAAATCATTATAAAAAGTAAAAAATATTGTAAGGTACTATTTTTTATTAGTAGAAAACAGACTGTACCTGCGAATAGTTGAGTACTTTAGAGACAGACTCTGAAACATATAAGATTCTTCCTCTGTCGCATCCCACAACGAACAAAAAACCATCTGCTGCCTGAAATAAAATAAATAATGTTATTACTTTATCAAACTTGTTAAAAATACTATTGAAATTATTATTATAGTTTCCATATTCCATATAGACTTTATGTCATGCTGCAAAAATTGTTCCTTCATAACAATAAAGTAAAAAAAAATCCATATTCCAGATGGACAAAGCGGATATTGGAATGACCAAGAGATGATGCCTACCGAAACAGAGGTCGTGTCCCTTTAGACTGACGAACAGTATAACGTTGCCATAGGAATTAGATGCAAGAGGCACAATATCGAAACGGATGGAAAAATATGAGGGAAATTTACGTACAACAGGGGATAAGCGAAGAATGAATGATGGTAATTCCTATTGGACTCTATTTTTATATAATGGTACGATTATATCAGTATTATCTGCTGATTTACACATATATTTATCACTAGCTCATGTATTATGTTCAGTAATAAGTCCCCTCTTTTCTTCTTCTTTAGGTGACGTCTCTAGTGGAGGTTGATTACGATTCGGAAAGAGTCCCACCAAAGCTCAATCTTTTTGATACCGTAGGTATCTGGGATAAGTGAATGTTCCCCTTAAAGGGATTGTGGGCCGTATGGCTAAATTTGGATATTTACGAAAATGGTCAATGATATAAATAAAGCGGCTAAAGTGTTGAGTGCTTAGTATGCAGACTCAAATTCATCATATAACTTTTCCGTAATTGTGTCTACTTTTTCGTCGGTGGGGACATGTAGATTACATGGATTATGGTTAAAAAAATGTAGCTAAGTCTCAAAACGTACATTGTAGAGCTAGTAGTTTTAAAGGTTTAAATTACGTTTATTGACGTTTCAATTTCCACTTCGGAAATCGGAATGTAGTTTTAATTACATTTTTCTGTCTCTTATCTACTAAAAATATGAATCCAGTGAGTAAAATGTGCTCTTTAGGACAACCGTTGTAAAAATTGTATGGTTTCTTTTTTAAATTACATAGTTTCCAGTTCACCTGATTTCTTGTATGACAATTATGTGTATTTTGTATTTATCTACTATATTTAGTAGATTTTGGAGAACTTACTGTCTATACAAAGTCGTGACATTCCATATCAAAATTCTTAAATTGCTTTGCAAAATATAAGATACGAAAAGCTAAGCAACTGCTTAGACGATAAAGATCTACGAATAATTACAAATATATACTGGCATCAAGTGGCAAGAATAAAGGCTGAACAAGAACTGTCGGATGAAATAAATATAAAAAGAGGAGTGAGACAAGGCTGTATATTGTCGCCTTTACTTTTTAACTTATATTCGGAGGAAATATTTAAGGAAGCCTTAATGGAGACAACCGAAGGTATTATAGTGAATGGAGTAACCGTCAACAATATTAGATATGCCGACGATACCTTAGTGCTTGCTAATAGCGGGGAAGACCTACAAAATCTAACGAACAACATAAAACAGACTTGTGATCAGTATGGGTTAAAACTCAACGTTAAGAAAACTAAATATAATATGATAGTTAGCAAACAAAATTATATACAGGATGACGGTATAAAAGTTGGAGATGCCACACTGGACAGAGTAGAGAAAGTCGTGTATCTTGGCAGTAATATCAATGAGAGCTGGGATCCAAGATCCAACCGCAGAAATTAAAAGCCGAATAGAATAAGCCCGAGGAACCTTTGTAAAAATGAGGAATGTACTTTGGAGTCACGATTTTAGCATTGACCTTAGAGTTCGAATGACATCTTGCTACATCTTTCCTGTCCTGCTGTATGGAGTGGAAGCGTGGACTCTCACTGAGGCTATCAATAAACGCTTGACAGCCTTTGGTGGGTATACAGACGACTACTGAAAATAAGCTGAGTCGACAGAGTTAAAAATGAGGAGGTTCTTAGATGGCTGAACCAAACAACACAACTGGTCAATATAATAAAGAAACGTAAGCTGGAATACTTCGGTCACATTATGAGACACCCTGAAAAATATGATCTTTTACATCTAATCATTCAGGGAAAGATCCAAGGTAATCGTGGTCCTGGTAGAAGAAGAACATCATGGCTGAAAAATCTAAGGCAATAGTATGGAAAATCAACTACATCGTTATTTAGAGCTGCTGTCAATAAAGTCACGATAGCGAATATGGTAGCCAACCTGATATCCACGATAGATAACTGCACTTAATATACAACTTTTGTAATAAAAAAATATTAGGAATTTAAAGAACACTCTAAAATAAATGTTTTACATTTACCTGCAGGATTACATGTTTAAGTTCCTGGTCCGAGAGCAACGAAGGCTTATAATGTCCCTCCGTGTACGAGGGAAGAGCACCCCGGATAGATTTTAAGTGTTGAACGGCCATTCTCAAAACGGTAAGTTTGTCCAATTTCCTTGACATCGCATGGCACATCGGAACCATCGAAGACAGCTCTGTAATGTAAGTGTTCATTTTGTCTCTTCGACGTTTCTCCACTTCACTGTGGTTTTGTCTAAAATGAATGGTTACTACTGATAAAACAATTAAAAAAAGATTATTATTTGACTATGAATAAATAAAAGATATTAAAGATAAAAGATACACTATTAAAACCTGTTTTAGACGTTGAACGGAACTACATTGTACAGTAGAGTACTCTTCCATCAAAACTTGTTCAAATGTCAATCATATTTCTTTTTGAAAAATTAAGAATATTATGTTTTTAAACTATAGCATTAAGAAAACTACTTTTTTTTTTTTATTTTGTCTGTATCTTGAAAAAACTCGTAAACAATGCTTGTTTTATGTTGTAAAAGGAATCTGAAGAAGGTTACTCATTGCCCATCATTGCTAAAAGTACCATAAATAAATAAATACCACAAACTACTCGCAATGATATATGCACGGTACCGTTATTAAAATAATATCCTGATATTTGAATAAAAAATGCAATAATCTGTACCGTCAAGGATAACTCTATTCTTGTAATAGAGGTACGCTGCGAATGTGTGTCACTGTTATATATCGTTACCAAAATGGTAAAGTAGCGAATATGCATATTTGTTACTTTTCAGGAGAAAAACACTTTGGGCTTCGACTAAAAATATGTTTGTAATGATATTTCTCTTTAGATACCTGATCTGGAAACCTTAAAAAAATGCCTAAAATAGGTTAATAATGAAAATAGGCCAGATAACCATAGTTATAATACTAAAAAAGTCACATTCTTTCTTCTTCTTCAAGTGCCATCTTCGCTGCGGAGCCATGACATTCTACGCCTCCTTATGCTTCTATTTCCTTGGATCTTTCCCTGCATAATCAGTTGGAGCAAGGTGTATTTCTCTCCACTTGTAATATGTCCGAGATTCTTTGGTTTAGAGTAAAGTAACTATTGTTAGAATGTTGGGCTATAAAAAATAGCGAATCTGCATTTGTGTTTAAGGAGAATGTACTTCTTCTTCTTCAAGTTCCACTCCTATCGGAGATTGGAAATCATTCTGGCAATTACAATTTTGTTGGTTACGCGCCTGAATAGTTCAATTGAACTGCATCCAAACATTCACGAAGATTGCGTAGCCACGAGATTTTACGTCTTCCTACGCTTCTTCTACCTTTAATTTTACCCTGCATTATATTTCTTAGTAGTTCGTACTTTTCACCTCTCATGATGTACCCCAAGAATTCCAATTGTCTGATTTGTATGGAATTTAAAACTGCGCATTGTTTTCCTAGTTGTTCGAGAACTTGTTCGTTTGTTTTGCGATCCATCCATGATATTTTCAAAATACGTCGGTAACACCACATTTCAAATGCTTCTAGGTTTTTAATGTCGGATTTTTTAAGTGTCCAAGCTTCAACTCCATACAAAAGGGTAGAGAAAATATACCATCGAAGCATTCTTATCCGGAGCGATATATTGATATCGCAATTACAAAAAAGTTTTCTCATTCTATTAAAATTTGACCGTGCAATTTCCAATGCGGCATCTCATTTCTTTTGTCTGATCAGTATCTTCTGTGATCCATGCTCCAAGGTATTTGTACGAAGATATTTGTTCAATTTCTGCATTATCTAGTACTAGCTTAACTTTGATGTTTTGTGCTTTTGTAAATACCATGAACTTGGTTTTCTTCAAATTTATTTTTAGTCTATAATCGTTGCAATATATATTTAGTTGTTCAGCAAGGTGTTGCAGTTGTTCTAGTGTTCCTGCCAGAAGGACGGTCTTGTCAGCATATCTTATGTTATTAAGTGGCTCACCGTTTATTATAAGGCCCTCACTGATCTCGGCAAGTGCTAATTCTGAGATGGCTTCACTGTATAAATTGAATAACAAGGGTAATAAAATACACCCTTGGCGGACCCCATGGCGAATCTGAATATCCTCGGTCAGTTCGTTTTCAACTTTCACTTTTGCTGTTTGGTTCCAATAAAGGTTACAGATGATTCTAATGTCTCTACTGTCTATGTTTTTATTCAATAAAATTTCTTTAAGACGATTATGCTACACTCTGTCAAATGCCTTCTCAAAATCAATGAAATAGGCATATACTTCCTGATTAATATCTAAGCATCTCTGCGAGAGAACACTTACTGCAAACAGTGCATCTCGTGTTCCCAGTCCTTTCCTAAATCCCATTTGTGTATTACTTATGCCTTCATCTAATTTCTTATGTATTTTATTGTGAATTACTTTTAAAAACAATTTCAAAACATTAAGGCTATGGTGCGATGTTCATTGCACTCCTTTGCATTGGTTTTTTTGGGAAGCAGTATGAATGAAAGAAGATCAATAGATACAGTATTCACAATTTTAAGTAATTCGATAGGAACTTCATCAGGCCCGGGAGATTTACCACCTTCAGCTTGTTTCATTGTATATTCAATTTCTTCTCGTTAAATGTCAGGCCCAATATCATCCTTAAATTCTTTTGGTGCTTCTGTTCTCTCTTTGTCTTCAAAAAGTTGTGCTATATATTGTGTCCATCTCTGCATTTTTTGGTTTATATCTGTTATAAGTGCACCACTTTCATCCCTTGGTTACCTTGTTTGAAATGTTTTTCTCATTCCTGTTAATTCTCTTTTATGCATGTTAAAAAAGTGATATTTTTCTCAATTTCTTCTAGTTCTTGGCACTGCTCATGTAACATTCTCTCCTTAGCTTCTTTTATTTTTCGACAATTTGGTTTAATGTGAAGCGTGAAGCAGCAGAAACCTGCCTGATATTATGCCACGAATGCTTCGTTAAAAGACTTATCTTTATTATGTATTGGTATTAAAAGTAACCAACCAAACTGTTAATAGAAACTGTTGAAAGAAACAGATAAACTGATAAAAAAGAAAATAAGAGAAGCTAGAGAAAGATGGCTGAGCAATGCCAGGAGTTGGAACAATTGGAGCGAAAATATGACTTTTTTAATGCACACAAAAAGATTAAAGAAATGACAGGAAGGAGAAGAACAACACAGACAGGACAGATCAAAGATACAGATGGTATAATTATAACAGATTTACAACAAAAAATGAACCGATGGACAGAATACATATCACAACTGTTTGATGACAAAGATAGACAAGAAATCTCAAACGAATATACAGATGATACAGGGCCTGATATAATCAGAAAAGAAATATAATATGCAATCAAACAAGCAAAAAGTGGTAAGGCCCCCGGTGCTGATGAAATTCCCGTAGAACTGCTCAAACTTATGGACGATGAATCTATTAAAATACTCCTAGATCTATTTAACACAATATATAGAACTGGAATAATACCTAGGGAATGGCTCCGTTCGACCTTTATACTACTGCCAAAAAAGGCAAAAACAAAAGAATGCAACGAATATCGTACGATAGCTTTGATGAGTCATGCTCTAAAATTGTTCTTAAAAATAATACATAATAGGATCTATAGGAAATTAGACGTAGACATCAGTAACACTCAGATGGGATTCAGAAAAGGGCTGGGTACAAGGGAGGCTCTGTTTGCAATGAACGTTCTCTCACAGAGATGCTTAGACATGAACCAAGAAATTTATGCCTGCTTTATTGATTTCGAATAGGCCTTTGACAAAGTACAACATGAACCACTAAGACAAGTTCTAATAAAGAAAAATATAGACAGCCGAGATATTCGAATTATATGCAATCTATATTGGAATCGAACAGCAAATGTCAAGGTTGAAGGCAGACTAACAGAAGAAATTGAAATCCGTCGAGGAGTCCGGCAGGGATGTATCTTATCGCCACTTTTATTTAATCTGTATAGTGAAGCTATCTGTGAACAAGCACTCGAGGAAGAAGATCTTGGTCTGATAATAAATGGTGAGACGATCAACAATATAAGGTATGCTGACGATACAGTTCTCCTAACGGGAACGCTAGTAGAACTACAACATCTCGTTCAAAGTCTCAATATATACTGTTACAGTTACGGCTTGAAAATTAATTTGAAAAAAACAATTTATGGTAATCACGAAATCAAAGAACATCAGAGCTAATCTTGTAATAGACAATACAACGATTGAGCGTGTGCCCTGTTATAAATATCTAGGTGCTTGGATCACAGACGATACTGATCAAACAAAAGAGATTAGATGTAGAATAGAAATCGCTAGATCAGTCTTTAATAGAATGCGCAAACTCTTTTGCAATCGTGATATCAATATAAAGTTACGAATACGAATGCTGCGGTGTTATGTCTTTTCTACCCTGTTATATGGAGTTGAGGCTTGGACACTAAAACATTTGACCATAAAAAACATCGAAGCTTTCGAGATGTGGTGCTATAGGCGCATTCTCAGAATATCATGGATGGACCGCGTCACTAACACGCAAGTACTACAAACTTTAGACAAAAGATGCGAAATTCTAAATGAGATAAAAACTAGAAAGATGGAATACTTGGGGCACATTGTGAGAGGTGAAAAGAACGAACTTTTAAGAAACATCATGCAGGGCAAAATTAAGGGCAAAAGAAGTGTGGGAAGAAGAAAAATATCGTGGCTTCGTAATCTACGTGAATGGTTCGGGTGTAGTTCGATTGAACTTTTTAGGCGCGCTGCTAACAAAGTCGCAGTGGCCATGATGATTTCCAATCTCCGCTAGGAGTGGCACGAGAAGAAGAAGAACCAAACTGTTCTAAGAAATTAGTGCCATTTGCCACAGTCAAGGTCGATTCAGACACATCAGTCACGTCTCGTCACAGGTCTGGCGCCGAACCGAACAATCCGTCATACAAAATATTCTTTAATAGAAATATGGCGCCGGCATTCACATTCATCAGGCAATGAACAGTTTCCCAGCTGTCAGATAATTAATAGTTCTGTGACCAAACAGCACCGGTTCGGCGCCGAGACTGTGACGGGACTGATGTGTCTGAATCGACCTTTTAACGACATAATCACACTGACAAAGAACGCCCAATCTCTTTTTATCACTGTTCCAAAAACAACCTTAACTTTCCCCATCTCTATTCAGTTATCCAAGAATGCAATATGTAGAAGGATACCG